GTCCGTAGCGCAAGGCCCCGGCTCCGGGAGGCAGGGGGCGCAAGAGGGGCCCCCTTGCACGCCACGCCCCGGGGGAGCCTGAAGGCTGGGCTGGCGCAGGGCCCCTTAGTCTGTTGTTGTTATGGGTCTCATGTCTCCTGGTTTTGGGGGGGCTTGAGGGGTGAGCCCCAAGGGCTGGGAGCGCTGCTGAGATCTCCCCAAGGTGCACCCCCTTGGCTGGGATCCTGGCACAGCGTTGCCCAGGGACCTGCCCTTTTTGGTGCCCGTCCCAAGCCTTGTCTCTTGCTGCCACTAGGGTTGCCAGATGGTTTCAGAAAAAATACAGAACAACAAGAAAAAAAAACATGCCAGGAAAAAGTGTGTTGAGAAAAAAAAAAAAAAACCCCACCATGGCCCCTTTTAAAAATTGCATGGTGAGGCTTTTTTGCCCTAACAGCTTACCGGTGGCCGCCCACTATCTTGCCTCCCTATGCTGGGTCAGAAAGCTCCCTAGTAAGCACTAGGGTTGCCAGGCTGCCTCTATACTGAGCCAGACAACCTGGGGTTTTGCCTCCTGGCTGGGAAAAAAATCAGAAAGTACTGGACATTTTAGGTGTCCAGTATTTTCTGAATTTTTTTTACTGGACAGGAGATGAAAATAACAGACTGTCCAGTTCAATACCGGACACCTGGCAACCCTGGCTTCCACTTCCCATCACAGCTCAAAGAAGTGGCCAGGCTGTGCCAGGACAAGAGGTGCACAATTACAGACAACCCTTCACTGTGCCCATGAGCAGTGCCACCATCGCCACACACACCATCACATCCCTTTCGAGATGTAGGGGCTCGCCATGTGCCTACCACAGCATGTGGTGTGCACCTCACCTTGGGCACTAAAACCCAAATAACAACAGCTATGGGATGATCATGACATGGCATTCGTATGGGGAAATGATAAAATGCAAAAACATCACTTCATCTCTGCGGGAATGCCTGTGATCCACCCACATTACCTCCTAGCACAAGCATCCAGCCACCTCTCACAAAAGTGGTGCAAAACCTGGGGGCCCTGTCTATGGGAGAAGGAGCTGGAACAAGCTATACAGGCAAAAGTGCAGGGCTACGTCTAGACAGGCATGATTTTCTGCAAATGCTTTTAACGGAAAAGTTTTTCCGTTAAAAGCATTTGCGGAAAAGAGTGTCTAGATTGGCACGGTCGCTTTTCCACAAAAGCACTTTTTGTGGAAAAGTGTCCGTGCCAATCTAGACGTGGTTTTGCGCAAGAAAGCCCCGATCACCATTTTCGCCATCGGGGCTTTTTTGCGCAAAACAGTTTTTAGTTGTCTACACTGGCCCTCTTGCGCAAAAACATTTCCGGAAAAGGGCTTTTGCCTAAACGGGAATGTCAAAGCATTTGCGCAAGAAGCACTGATTTCAGACAGTAGAACATCAGTGCTTTTGCGCAAAATCAAGCGGCCAGTGTAGACAGCTGGCAAATTTTTGCACAAAAGCAGCTGCTTTTGCGGAAAAACTTGCCAGTCTAGATGCAGCACAGGAGTGTTTTCCCACATTAGGAGTGTTTTATCACTGTAGCTATACCATTAAGTCACTGCTAGGGTAAGCATAGCCTTACCTTTGGGTGATCAGGAAGCATCAGTACTGAACAAAAAGAAAATCCTTCTTCCAGCTGCAGCTGGTTAAGAAACTACTCCTTCCCCCAAGATGAAGAGTTGGCCAGAGTGAGCCATGTGTCCTTTACCTTCAGGCTCGGAAATTGTAACTCTCAGTTTCTGGGGCTGAAAGTGGATAAAATGCACAAGCTCCAGCTTGTACAGAATATGGTTGCCTGGCTTCCTCATAGGACAGGCCTCTGAAAACACATCACTCTATTTACTGTCTACTAGTACAGAGGTCTCTTCCAACATCATTGATTCCCAGGTGTCTCCTTCCCATCAAGTATGCAAATTGCACCCCCACCAACAATGATTTTTTTCTTTTTCCATGCTGAATCTAAATTTTTGGACCCAGGAGTCATATTTATTCTCATTACAAACCTGATGAAGGCAGTGGAGTTACACTCAGACATTAATTTTTCGGGCTTCTAATCTTTCAAAATGCCTTTTAATTTTTTTCTCTCTGTCTTCAGTCACTGATGCTTGTATAACTAAAGAGAAGATGATGAAAGTAAAAGTGTCCCTTTAAGAAGCTGTAGCCTTAAGTAGCTCTAACTGGTTTCACCTGAAGGAAATATAAGGCAGAATGGATAAAAACTGCCAAAAACACCTACAGCTGTCTGAGGATGTAAAATAGCCTGGGCAAAAGCAAGTATATGGAGGGTAGTGAAAGTAAAAAATGGATTATTCAAGATGTCAATGGAATGTTACTAAGATCTCTTTGGGAGAGTTTCTGAGATGTTGTGACCAGCCCATAAGTGAGGAGCAAGCCTGGGCCCTTTGCTTTCAATGTTGTTATGAAATGAAGCAGCTGATTCAGGACTCCCACCCTGTAGTGATTAGAGGTCTGGGAAGCATTCTTATCCACTCTGATGGTGTTGTTTCCTTCACGGTGGGTCCTAAATCTGGTAAGAATAAAGGCAGCAGTAGGTGGGGGGTTTTAAACAAAAATCTTCTTACTCTGATAATCCTATAGGGTTTTTTGCCTGTGTTAATATAATATACATAAATGTGATTGTCTCTGAAATGCTTTCCGTTGTGAATCCCATTAATTCCTGTACAAATAGAAAGCTAACTTGCGATATGTCCTGGTGTCTCTGAACCTAATATCTATGCTCCTAATGTGAAGGGCTGTGTTCTCCAAACCAATTAGGGTATCTACAGAGACTGGAGAAGAGATGTTGGGTAGGAGCATTATACCAGTAATGTTTCTGATATTTTAACTATCAGGTGAGAAGCCAAAGTTTTGGGGTTCTAGTTCTGCATTTGCTGCTTTTCCCAACCTGTAATATGGGGATAAAATACTTTTCTAATTTACAGGAATGCTTTGAAACTCAACTACTGTTTGTAAAGTATTTTTGCCAAAAAGTGCTATAGAACTGTAGCTGATTATTCCTTCCCCCTCCTCTATGATTCTCTATTGAATCACTCAGGGTTTTTTTGTCGGGAAAGGGGAATAACTTGGACGAATTACCGAGACAAGGAATTCTGGCTTCTGGAAAAATGACTGTCTTCCACAATATGGATGTGCGCACACACACACCCATGTTATTTGTAGGGTGACCAATTGCCCTAACTTTGTAGGGACAAAAGCTTCAGAGGGGTAGCTGACTTAGTCTGTAACTGGAAAAACTTAAAAAAAAAAAAAAACCACATAGTCTAGTAGCGCCTTTTAAAGACTAACAAAACGTGTAGAGGGTATCATGAGCTTTGGTGGGTATAACCCACTTCTTCAGATGACTGGAGTGTTGAAAGTCTAGATCCAAGAATAAATAAGGGAAGGGGGGGTGGACAGGAGGAAAAATAAGACAGTGAATAAATTGTTCAAGTAGTTACAAGAGTCTGATAACCAAACAACAATGGAAGTACTAATTGTTCTTAAGTCATTAGGATGTGGAAGGTAGTGTGGGAGCCAATACTTCTGTTCATTCCATGCTGATAACTTAATTTTCAAGTTTGTCTTAAATTCCAACTCTTCCCTGTGCATTTGGCTTGTGGAATTGACCTGAAACAACACGGTGACTTGGAAATCCATTAATGAGTGCCTGGGCGGGTTAAGTGTTCTCCAAGAAGTTTCTGTGTGTTGACTTTTTGGGTATCTGGTTTGTGTCCGTTAATGCTTTTCAGTAGAGGCTGGCCAGTTTGGCCAATATACATGGCAGTGGGGCTAGCGTTACCAGGTAGACCCTCTCCCCTCCCCCCCCCAAAATACCAGACACACTTGATCATGGGCAGGGGGAGGCACCTGCCAGGAGGGGGGCGGGGCTGGCAGGGAGGGCAGGGGCCATGGGGCTTGCCAGGAGGAAGGGGAGGTGGGAAGCAGAGCTTGGAGGGATCAGGGGCCGGGGGAAGGGCTGGACAGGAGAAGGGGGG